GGCCCCCGGGAGCCCCCGCGTGAGCGTGCCCCTGACAAGTCAGGGAAGCAGGCCAGGGAGACAGACCACTTAGTGAAGCCAAACGACGAGTGAGAAGCAGAGACACCCGCCTTTAAATAGGTGTTTCACCATCTGCCACGTTTTCTCGGCCCGGTGGAAAGGACAGTTCCCCTGAAGGGCACTCTAAGCCCCTTGGCTTTGTTGTTGTCCCGCAATTTCTGTGAACAGAAGTGAGTCGGGAAGAAGGATCGAAAAGAAACGGGTTCAGAAGAAGAGGCCGGACAATCCTGCGGGAGCTGAGCCGAGCCGAACCCGAGGGGCTGGGCTCACAGGCAGGTGGGAGGCGACTGGCGTCCCGGACGTGGGGTCAGGGTATTTGTGCGCACTGCTCACCAGCACAGCTGGCAGCTGTTACCTCTGTGGCCAGCTGAGCGAGGGCGCGGCGCTGCCAGGTTAGGCTGCGAGTGGCCGTCCGCAGCGTAACGTCCTTCGCGGATCGGTCATCTCAGGCTCGTAGTTTCCAACTTGGCACTTCTAAGCTGTGTCCAGCGTATTTGGAGTCTAAGAAATAAATGCTTCAAAAGGTAGTCATTCCTAAATGGGTAATTAGCAAAAACAAAGCTTTCTCGGGCATTTTCCTTAAGCGCCAACGCCTCCTCCCCCTCGTTTTCTAAAAGAGCTCCGTGTGCCTGTGATCGTGTCCTCCCGGGCTGGCCTCGTGGTGGGCGCTGCAGGCACAGACCTGACTGAGAGGCGACTGAATTCCTAGCCTAGCGGGTGGGAGGGGCGCGGCCAGTGGTGCCAGGGTGCCCCAGGCTCAGGTGGGACAACAGGTGGTGATGGTAACGACCGTGGTGGCAGTGATGAAGGGTGGGGAGGGCTCTGAGGTCCTATCAGATCTCAAGCTGGGGCTCCTGGTGGGTGAGGAACGGCGCTGTCCTGGGGCTGCAGTGAGTGTGGAGGGTGGAGGTGACCTCTGCATGCCGGGGTCCCCTCTGGCAATGGGGTAGAGGACCAGCTTTACAGGAGAGGCATCAGAGGGCTCAGGTGGGCAGCTCTGCCCTCTGGGAGACCAGTGCTGTGGTCCAAGCTCATCTGAAGACTTGAGCTCCACCCTTGGTGGCCCATAGTCAGGGGGATGTGAAAACTGGCCAGACCTGGCAGTGGGTTTCAGGGGTGGTGAAGAGAGGAAGGTTAGGTTGAATCCTAGGCTTTGGTGACACAGAGGAAGGGTGTTCTTGGGTTCAGGATGACAAAGGAAGAGCCACTCAGGGGGACTGTGATGGGGTCCATGCTCCATGTATTGAATTTCGATCTCATTCTTTGAGATTCTTAAGACTTCAGGTCTCAATAAAGTGAGTCGTTTGTGGCTTTGCACGTATTCCCAGTAGTCTGTGAGTAATCATGTCACTGTCAGCCAAAACGTCTTTGTTTCATTAAGAATTGGTGCTTGACCTGATCCCTGGTCCTTTGAAAGGACTGAGTTTGAGAAGGAATTTAGAAGGACGCTTTCTGTAAAGCAGGGCTCGATGCTTTGACGATTCTGCTTGAAATGAACCCGATCAGCTCGTCAGGACAGCATAGGAGATGAGACAGGATCTGGTCTTGCTGCCATGCGGGCATGAGTGGGAACCCTCGTTGTGTGGGGGGTTCTTGGGGTGCAGCTGGAATAAGCATTTTCAGAGGCCCCCATGGGAGGGTGAGAGGCAGTAGAAGATTTCACTGGTATGGTTACATTCCTCAGGCTCCAGAGCCCCTGCCCCGTAAGCCGGCCCTGGAAGAGGGGCGGCTGGGAGCTCAGCAGAGCCAGAAATGAGGCCAGAGTCCAGAGCTTCCGTTCCGCGTGCAGTCGGTGGAGCTCAGTGCTCGGCAGACTAAAGCCCCTGTGTGGAGTCCCAGGTGGCCGTGGGCCACGCGGGCTCGGGAGCCGCTGCAGCAGGAATCCCAAGAAGGCTCGGCTCCCTGGAGCCAAGAGAGCGGCTCCTTTGTCCAGAAGTTTATATGTTTAGATTTCACAGGTTTGCAGTGGCCACAGCCAGCCTGGCCACTGGCTTGCTCGCAGGTGTGACTGAGGGACAGTAGGGAGGCATTTTCCCACTTCACTCAGACCGTGCTGGGCCTTTGTCCGGTCCCTCCCCCCATCAGTCGGGGAGCCGCCTCTGAGTGCTAAGTGCAGCTTTCTGGCAGAGCTGTGTAGACGGCATGCCTATATTATTTGGTATCCCCTTTCACTTCTTTCCTGTTAAATACCCAGGCCACCACAACGCCACCTGTCTCAGCCCCCACTTGCTTTATGAGAGCACCGAGGTAGTCGCTGTCTCCGAATGGAATTATGGGCAGCAGCTCATTTTCATAGTTGTTTGTTTATTTTACTTAGACAATTCAATATGTTACCTTTCTTTGGTAACCATTTTACCTTCTCATTACTTCTTTACCTGATGTGCTTTCAATAGTACCGTGCTCAGGTAGGTACCCCGTAGCCTGGAGGCATGACCTTCCCGGCCCATCCACATTGCCCTGCTCACTGCTCAATGTGCGTGCGTGTGCGTGCGTGTGCGTGCTGTGTCGCAGGGGTGCTTCCATTCTGGAATTACGGATTCTCAAATGAGGGTTATTATATATTAAACTGAACTGTTACTTGGGCTAAAGGGCACATATGTTGCTGGAACGAAAGCTAGAACCAGGCATGACGTCTCTGTCACGGCGCCCCCTGTGGCTGGGGAAACGGTGGCCTCTGGAAGGGAACCTAATTAGCCCCTGGGCAGCTGGACATGATAGAAATATGATTGTGATGCCTAAAGTGTACATGTGCACAGAAGAATAAAAATAGGTATAACTTAATGTACAAAACACAGCCATTGGTCGGGTTTGTTTCCATTTTATTCTTTTACTGCTTACTAAGTTAAAATGCTGTCTGGGTTCACTGTCAAATACGAAGCAGCAGGGAGCCGGGAAATGTCTCCCTGTGTGAGAGCAGACGCACCCACACTTCACTAGGGTTTGAGGACCCCACGGATCGAATGTCTAATAAGCGTTAGTAATTACTCCACTTTTCAGGGAAGTTATGGACTCTGATACAGCCTGTATGTGTACCACAGTGAAAAGGGCACGTTTTAGATCACAGCAGGCTTTCAGCCCATCTCAGCTGATCTGCAAGTAAGAATGTGCCTGCTGTGGCTCTGTGGTCCTGTAGCACGGACTGAACGGGGGCCTCTGACTTAATGAAAAAAACGGCCACTGTACTGCAAAACATTTTAAACTTGCTTGTAATGTTTCAAATCAAGTGGAGAGTTTCTGGGCCAAAGACGTGAATTATCCCAGACCTTTGTGCTGGTCACTTTTCCTTCAGAGAGAGTAATTCTTTGTTGTTTCATCTAAGTTGGTTCTGTAACGAAGCAGGGAAAAGAGCCATGAGAAACTAATTGGTGGTTCAATAGCTAGTCAGCATTGCTGGATGCAGGCCGAGCTAGGACAGTCACGCGGGTAGAGGCGTAGGGACACGTATCCGTTCTTCCAGCTTTCCTCCCTGTCTGCATAGCCAGTGTCTTCCTCTCTCCACCCTAACCTTTTTTCGTCTCTTCTTTCCTTTCTTCTCTCCCTATTTTCCCTTCTTGGGGCTTCAGAAAAGAAAAAATAACCCCACCTCCCCTCTGCCCCCCGGGTTCAAAACCAGTTGGGAGGTTGACCCAGGAGTCAGGCCAGGGGTATGTTGGCTGCACCGTGGGTCTACTTCTCAGCCAAATGAGCCCTTCACTTCTCATTCCTGAACTACACGGACACCCACCCAGCTATGGTGTGGCTCTGGGTGTGGCGATCAAGACCTGGTTGCCTCTTTCAAAGTGTGACCATGGTGCAGCCACGTCACCAGGTCTCGTTGAGGCACCTTTGTGTACGTCTGCTTGCTCTCACCCCCTTTGACCTGTGTTTCCAGGGCTGCATTTCCTAGCCAGTTTAACCTGGTGACAGTGTGCCCACCTGATGACAGGAGCAGGCATTCTGTCCTGTACGAATGCCTCCTGCTCCCTTTGTACTGTTCACTTATATAAATCCAGAGCCTTTAAATGTGTGAAGTCATGATCTGGGTCTTTGAATTCCAAAGCCACAGAGAGAGATTATGAATTAGCAAACCAGAGGCCTAGAGAACTCAGTGGGACTGGCTGAGTGCACGGCAGCCCTGCCGTTTCAGGAGGCTGGCCCGACACTGTGTCGCTCCCTTGGCCCACTTTTAACCAAAGTAAGGAGAGTAGAATTTCAGAGAGGAAGCTTGTGTAGCCTGGTACAAAACACATTCAAGCAAATCTTAGGTGTCTTTGTGGTTTAAAGCAGGGGAAAAAAAGTTGTTCAGTCCCTTAAGGGAGACAAGATTGGCTGAGAGTAAAGACCCTTCTCCCTATCATTTACGCCCATCCTCAAATTCAGGGTCAGGCCAAGGTTACTCCCAGTGCTGCACCTGTTTATGAGGTGCACCTTTGAGATCCAACGCACAGCTGTAAACCAGCCACTCCGGGGCCTGCCTCTGCCTGCAGGGGCCAAGACCCCAGGGGGCACCGTGGCATCTCAGCCGCTCTCCAGGGCTGTGCCCCGACCTTCTTCAACAGGGGCCTGGGAAACAAAAAAGAGCGGACCCCACACTGTGTTTAGGCTTCATTTTATTGTAAACACACGGACAGGTGTAGGCGTAAGCACGAGGTTTAGGCAACCCACTCCTCTGACTCACGTCGCCTCTGTAATACTCAGGGTCTGGGTCATAAAGCCTGGGGGGGGAGGCTGCCACATTACCACAAATTATCTCCCCAGCAACGAGTTCTCAGAGTTAACTGGAGGTGGCTACGTGGACGCCTCATAAAGATGACAGTGTCTGCTTTACAGAATTAGGCACATTTGCAAAATGAAAGCAGTTGCTCGGATAAATATGCTAAGTCGACATTTAGCCTCCGTCCCGCAGCTGGGACAGCGGGGCCCCTGCTCCTGTGAATACCATGAGCCCGTGTGCTCTTCGTTCCCGTCGGCTTTGGGCTAATGTTTGAATATAGATCTTTAAAAGTTGGACTAATATGCATAAAGTGTAGCTTATTTAAGCTACCTGTCTACTTGTCATTTGAGTATACAACTGATTCGGAAGGAGTGGAACTGCATCTGTGCACATGTCGAGTTTTACCCATCACACTGAGTGTATAATTCAGAACTTTGAAGCTGGGGTCCCACAGGATGTGGAGCATTGATTGTCAAGGCCTGAATCCCATGCGGCAGACGTCCCCGCGGCAGTTCCCCTTGTGCTGGCTGACGCGTCTGGGTCTGGCCGGGGCTTAGAAGTGCTTTCTGTGTGCTTGTGTCGTTGCCACGGCGACCAGCCGACCGCTTCGCTCAGCACAGGGCATGCGAGGGAGCAGTGCTGTCCTCTGACGTGGCCATGGCCGCGCTGGACCCAGGCAGACCCAGACCTGCTTCCTCAGGAAGCCTGCATGTGGCCGTGGTCATGTTTCTGTGGCTCCCAGGGGTCCCAGCAGCCGTGCAGGACGGACGTGGGCAGATGCAGACCCGCCTTGCATTCTGTCCTCGCCACGGGCTGGCTGTTCCCTAATATTTCTAGTTGCAGGGAGATTGGCGTTTGGCACAGATATCAGCAGTCTGTCTTGGAGTCACCTCCTGCATGAATTTCCAGTCCTGGCGGCTAGTGAACAACAGTTGCCAGTTTCAGACCTTCTGGGAAGAGCAGGAATCAGATTAGGAGTATCAGATTCTGACTCCTGGGGCCCCTGGGGCCCCTGCCATTGGGTGGCAGAGCTGGTCCGAGGGTGTGCTCGCGGGGGTGACGCGCGGCCGGGCGGCGCAGAGGCCCGCGTCCTCCGCCGGCGCCGTAGCCTGGCCGCGGCAGGTCCCAGCAGCTAACTGCACGCTCTCTCCGCTCCCCCGGCTCGTCACGCCCTCCTCCCCACCCTGCTCGCCGGGGCACGTGACCATGGCCTCCCGCTCACCTGCCAGCCTCCGGTCCTTCAGTTCCGACAGGTCGCACACCCTGAGCCACGCCTCCTACCTGAGGGACAGCACCATGATCGACGACGCCGTCGTGATCCCCAGCCACCAGGTACGTGACTGCTGCCCTCACTTTGCTATCTGCTGCGGAGCTTTCAGTCATCGCCTGATGCTGGAAATGTCCCGAGAGGCCTTTGATCTAAAAGGAAATCAGCTTAGCTCAGTCGACAGGCCAGGACAGAGATTTGAGGGTTTTTCTAAAACATGAAAAACGTTGCCTAGATTTCTCAGTGAGCAGAGTTTTCCTATAATAGTCCCCGGCTCGTTTCTGCAGCTGTCCTGTGTTCTCCTGCAGACTCCTCTCCAGAGCCTCTGTTGGAAAGGCGTGAGCTAGTGTGCCTCAGGCTGAGACGAAGGCACGGGCGTTACCTGTGGGAAAGGGGTGGCATTCACTGGGGAGACTTTGCATTAGGTATGATTTGGCCGGTGCTGGCTGGATGTGCTGAACGACACGCACGCCTCAGACGACACAGGGTGGCCCAGTGTCTGAGGTCACCTCAGCTGGAATGTGAGAAAGCAATGTACTCTGAGCGCCTCGGTCTTACGTTTTTAAATGCTTTTCCAGGCGATACCACCTATCTGTGGTGCCATTTTTAGAGATGGTTACATTTTGATCCAAGGGAAGGGAAGGGAAGACGTTCGTTGAGCCCAGTGTCCTTTGTGTGCAGGTGTCGGCACTCGCCAAGGAGGCGGAGAGGAACTCACACCGCCTCAGCTGGGGGCCCGAGAACCTGGACAATGTGGCCCTTTCTTCCAGCCCCATCCACTCAGGGTGAGTTGGGGTGTCGAGTGTCCCGGTCACGGGACAGGCAAGTGTGAAAGCAACAGCTTTGTCGGTGGCTGTCGCTGGTGACTAGCTTACAGGGGATGAACCTTTGTCTAAACTTGTAAATTACGTGGCTTTTCCAACACGGACCTGTCTGTACAGACAGACCAGCCAAAAGGGTTGAGTTCCACATAGAGACACCGACTGTTGTTTTAACTAGTAGGATTGCGCCCAGCAGCTTGCTTACTAACTAGCAGCTACTGGTGGCCTCCTGAAGGCTGAAATCTTGTCTTTAAGAAGTCTTGAAAGGAGGGGCAGGATTATTTGCATTCTAGAAAGTTCTGTTTACTAAGGTTAACTGACTAGGTAATAAATGCCTTTCCTGACACATTTAAAATGCCTTTCCTGAATGCATTTAAAATGATGTTTCCAGAAGTTCGAGGCACACAGTACACAGAGCAGTTCTCGTGCTGCTGGAAGGAGGGAGACCCGAGTGCCGCCTGTGGGTGCTCTGTCCCCTCTTCAGAGCCAGCAGCTCACTCAACAGCAGGGCTTTGGGTTAATAATTTTAAACACCCCTAAAGATGTTCTGAAGGTGTAAGAATCCGTTACAGGTCCATGAGTTCCATAGAGTTTTACGGTCTCCATGGTTGAATCCCCCTACATCCCAGTAATTTCAGTCATATAGTAATTTTATAATTATACCTAAACTGTTAAAATATTTGCTCACTTAATCACTTTTTAAAGCCCTACCCATATGGTATCTAACTAAATACAGTACTTTGGTATAAATTATCACCACGGACGCCTTACCCAGCAGCCCCAGAGCCACTTTGAACGGTGGGGACTTTCTCGTGTTTGTGCTTCTCGAGTGCTCTCCTCTCAGAGGAGAATTCGCAGACACTCTCACTAAAGATTTTGGACCTCTTAGTCCAACCTTGTACTAAAGATTCATAGAATATAAAATTAGTTCCATAGATATAGAAAATAATCCCAATACTCTTATCCTCGTGAAAAAATGGAAGAATTATTCACGGGAACAAAAACCAAATTAAACCTCACCTAAGTTTATTTACATATTTAAAGTATAAAATTCGATCATTAAACTCTGACCTATAGATTATTCAAGAGGCATAACATTGCATCTGTGCCACACTTCCGAGCAGTGATGAGAAGGAAGAGAGGCCAGACCCGGAGGGGCGAAGGAAGTGGGTCAGAGCCCAGAGCCAGCCGGTGAACCTGCTCAGCCTGCGGAGTGAAGGGCTGCTTCGGGCACAGTGGGATTCACTGTTAATGGCCGAGTGTACAGAAGAGTCAAAGCCTAGAGCATCGGTGGTTAAAGATTAATCACTTATTCAGATAAGGATCTTTAACATTGTCTCTAATAAACCAAATCTCCTGAGAACTTGAAACCTGATTGCTGACTGAATATGCTCAGCTCTGGCCGGGCATCAGAACCACCCGGGAGCCTTATAATGCGGATGCCCAGGCCCAGACCAGCTACAGCAGCGTCTCTGTTGTTGTGGCCATGGCATCAGCAATTTCTACGGGTGCCAGCAGTCCAGATACACATGTTTTATACAAACTGTTACAGACTGGTCATCATGGAGACCTAAGTAAGTAACCTGTACTGAGTCCCTGACATGTTGCTGAATTCTGCAAAGCACCACACCTGATGCCAGGCATGAAGGGAAATAGATAAGCAGGACCAGCCCACCCTCACAGACATGCACCTGTCTGTCACTGGAAGTTGGGAGACTGTCTATGGAAGAGAGAGGATGTGATGCTGCCTTTAAAGGCAGACACGTCAGACCAGGCCCGGGCCCTGGCTCTCAGAGTTTCTGCTCACTTACCTGAAGTGAATGTTGTATTATGGATCCCATAGGGGAACGTTAAGGATTACGTGCTTCTTAAATAGTTAGCATTTTGTCTAGAAAGAATAAGTGCTCAGTAGATTCTAGTCAGTATTTACACAGTCCACACACATCTTCCAGATCCTCCCCAAATTCCACCAGTTAAGCAAAATGTATTCCAAATCATCTCAGTGACACCGCTGAGTGGTTCCAGTTCACAGTGTACTGCTGGTTCACTGTTATTGTTGCCAGGTAACCTAGCATCTAGTAAGGTCTCTGCTATAGTATTTGAACAAGCACACACCTCACAGGGCCCAGACCATTGGGGATCCCCACTGAACACTAGATTCTGCCAGTCTGGTGTTTGAGAGCAACCACCACGTTAATGTGCACAAATAGCATTCATAATATCATATCATGATAATATCATATCACTTACAGCTTCATTCATTACACACTAGGTTCCTGGGTTGTTTATATATATATTTTTTCAAAGGACTGAAGTTCTTGGGTGAATTCTTAAGCCACTTCAAAGTCTGCCCAAAATGTTAGAAAAAAATGTGTTTGGACAGAGGGGGTAATAAAGTTAGCTTTTTTTGCACGTGCCACTGTTTTGATGTGTAATATTCCAATAGACTCCACAAAGGAATTCAGGTTAATAGAAGACACAGCCATACCAGTGGGCAGCGCTAGTGATCTCCTCCTGCCTCTGCTCTGTGTCCAGTGGCTAATATCCACGGCCACTGGAGAACGGGAATCAGCAGTTGAAGCAATCAGACTACTATAGCCAGGACCTGGCAAAGAAAGGCTGACAGTAACATTTCTGGTCTTGTTCTTTAACGAGCTGTGTTACTGATCCATAATCAAGCCAGCAGGCATTTCTCGCATCCCAGCCATGGTCAAACGACATAATCTTGGGCAAGAACCTGAATTCACAGTTCTTCTCAATTTCAAAAGCTTAGTGAATGAGCAGACGAAAGGCATCGTTCCTGGTAATGGCTAGTTTGCATTCATTTTAAATACTCCAAAGGTTTTTATAGTTTTTAATGGTAGCCATGTGTCAACAATTAGATGTCAATTCATCACATTATCGAGATATTATAGCAACTAGAATTCCATTAAAAATCAATATTTTTCATAAAAACATGTCAAAGACAATTTTGCTGTGAATCTAAGACTACGTGAAAAAATAAAGTCTGTTGAAAAACAGCTGAAGGTATTAGCTCCAATCGGAGACGCTGTTTGAAATTCCAGGAAGCCGAGGTTGCTTCTCATTTGACAACATTAATATTTGAGTATGTGGAGCAGTTAATTTGGCTGTTCATATGTTTCAAACACCCTAATTTTTTTAAAGGTACCTGAAGGTAAATTCTTGTGGATGAAGAAGATGATTTTATAAGTAGCTAAACAACTGTTTTGTTGAAGTTGTCTTTCTGGCCCCTTAAACGTGTCCTTTGTACATCAGACATGAGTGAACCAGAGGCAGAGGAAGGGCCTGGGGCGCGGGTCAGACCTGGCCCGAGCAGGCCAGCGGCCCCGCGGGGCTGTCTTGCAGGAGCGCTCAGGCTTTGTGCGGAGCTTGTTACCCGCCCATAGGTAATCCTGTTACCGACTCTGCCGTCCAGTGTGTGCCACTCTTGGCGTTAAAGCTGGTCTTTAAATTGTGCCTTTTCTGTTCCCATTTCTTTGGCAGTGGACTGAAAGGGCATCACCATTATTTAGAAAGTATTAAAAGTCTGAATGGAAGGCTATGGCAACTATGTCCACCAGTCACAGACTTTGCGACTTTCACTGTAATGCCCTTGACGTCCCGTGGCCTCCCGGACACTCAGACTTGTGCCGCACCCCAGGCCAGCGCTGAGCGGGGAGCAGGGCTGGGGGGCGCCCAGCGGCTCTCGCACTCCAGGGCCCGAACGGGGAGCCACAGAGCCCACGGGCCCCGCCCAGCACTTGCACAGAGCAGTGCCTGAGGCTGCAGGGGTGTTTGAGGGCAGCCACTCTGATTCCCTCTTGACGGTTCACCGCCACTCCTTCTCTGAGCTAAAGTATGTGTTCTGTTGCAGCCGCGCCTCTCCATGTCTCGATCGTGACAACAGCAGGTGACTGTGCATCACCCCTCCCTCCGGCCTCCCCCCAGGGTGCTTCAGTGCAGACTCCTCGAGGGACTCAGGGCCGGCTGCCATCTCCAGTGGAGAGAGGCTGTGGTGGAGAGAAAGTGGGCATTTTTCATTTTGTAGGGAATTAGCTGGGATTGTGCCAAAATTAATGCAGACCTCTGGGAAAGCCTGTCTTGGCCGTGGCTCTCCACATCGTAGCTTCTTATGTTAGGAAAGTGCTACATGGAGCTGAAAAACTATTCCCAGCAGTCATGCAAATTGGTCGACCTGCCTTAGAGTGAAGGTTGTGGTCCCAAGCGTCATGTAGCAGGGTTTTGTAAAAACTGCTTTATAGGTGAACCAAAGGCTGGAAGTATATCCAGAGGGCGTTTCCTGGCTGGTTCTGCGTTAAATGCAGGCTTTGGATGGTTTGGAAATCATGCTGCAGGACGAGTCCAGTCAGTGTTCTAAACTATCCGTTACCCTGTGTTACTCCGATGAAGTGACTTTTGACGGTATCATAGCATTTTTGTTATATAGTCGTCCATGACGAGACTACGGATTGTCCACAAATGAGACAATTTCATGTTTCCAATTTTAAAATTTTATAGCCACCCTTTTAGTTTTTCTGAAACACTGAATATGATGTTTCTGCACGTGAGCATTGTGAGTGATAAGTGATTGGTGATTTTACCAAATTTGAGCCACTTTTTTCAAAGACACTTTCCATGGGCTGGGACGCGGGGAATAGGAGGAATTAAGGGGTCTGTAGAGGAGAAAGCCCACGACGCGTGGTGTTCCCGCCCGCAGTCGGAGCCCCCGGCCGTCCTCTCGCTGTGGGTACGTGGATCACTGAGGCACCCTGACTCTTCTCCCTATTTTCACCCAACGACTAACTGAATGCTGCCATCTCCCCC